CAGGAAGTTTCACTTTCTTCATTTCTGTTTCTTCTAAATCGTCTTTTTGTTCGTTTGTTTCAATTCTGGGTTTTTGTTCTTGGACTCTAACGAGGTCCAGAGTCCAGAGTCCTGAGTCCTGAGTCCCTCTAATAAAGACAGGAAGACCCTGAAGGTCCTGGTCCGACCTTCTTTATCAAAGACCTGATCCAGACTTCAGACCCGAGCAGAAGATTTTCACCGCCATCAAACAGCCAATCAGAGACAGAGCCCATCACACTCACACACACACACACACACACACACACACACACACACACACACACACACACACACACACACACACACTGATCAGAAATGACTTTAGAGGGAATATGTGATATTTCCCAGAATGCTTCAGGGCGCTCCCGTCCTCTAAACTCTGAGCTTCTGATTGATCTGAACCGCTTCCAATCATCAATCACTGGGCGTGTGCACACTCACACACACTCACACACACACACACACACACACACACACACACACACACACACACACACACACACACACACACACTCACAGATGTCCAGTGAAGTTTTTTTCTTTTTTTTAATCATTAAAAAGTTTTTAAAGAAACAAAAAGACGAAGTTTTGAAGTTTTGAAGATCCGACGACCATCAGAGTCTCCAACACACCCTGAAGAGTCCTGAAGACCAGAACCAGACCACCAGGTGGACCCACACCTGCTGCAGGTGAGGACCATGTTTGGACTCACCTGGTCGGACCGGGCCGACCCTGATGGACCGACCTCAGATTTAAAGGACTAATCCGCCTCATTCAGCTGATTCTGAGTCCGTCCTGAAGGTCCAGAGGAGACCAATCAGAGCAGAGAGAGGAGTGTGTGTGTGTGTGTGAGAGTGTGTCTGTGTCTGTGTGTGTGTGTGTGTGTGTGTGTGTGTGAGAGTGTGTGTGTGTCTGTGTGTGTGTGTGTGTGTGTGTGTTTTTGATGATGTGACGATCATGCTGTTCCCAGCGGTCATCAGAGGAGATTAGCTGCTATCGCCGGGGGAAACACGCTGTTATAGACACACACTGTTTCACACACACACACACACACACACTCACACACACACACACACACACTCCTCAGTAATTAGTAGTCCTGTGTTCTTCCTGCCAAGCTGTTACTGTGCGCTCTGAGCTGCCAATCACAGCGAGTCCCTCAGTGATTCAGCAGCCAATCAGCCGCAGCGAGACGACAGAGAGAGACAGAGCGCCCGCAGCGAAAGACGGACTGACAGACGGACGGATGGAGAGATGAAGAGGAGAGGAGAGGAGAGGAGAGGGAGTCAATTAAAGGATGAAGAGAGTCAGAGAGACTCCGAAACATCTGAGAGGATTTTACTCTGAGTCCAGAACCAGAACCAGAACCAGAACCAGAACCAGATCAGCTCTCAGTCTGTAAACCAGAACATCGTCATTCTCTTAGACCTGACTCTGTGTTTAACTCTGAGCTTTTATTGTGAAAGGACACAGGGTCAGCTGATGGTCCTCAGATCCACCTGTTTACATGTGACTCTTAGCCCCGCCTCCTGAGCCGTCCTGATCTGACCCTCAGACCCGGTCTTTTCCACGCTGTCTCAGTCAGTCTCAGTTTACGTTCATTAAACGGCGAACACGCCAACACGCTAACAGAGATCGTTTACGCTCTAAAAACAAACAATTAAAGAATTATCGTGACCGTGTGAACACCCGCAGCAGCAGCGGCGGCGGCGGCGGCGGCTCGTTAACACTCTCTGACGCTAACGAGAGGATCCTGTTCTGTAATGAAATCATCAGTGACACTCAGCTCGTTAGTCTCAAGGCCGGGTCCTCGTTAAGTGAACGCGCTGCTACTGTACACTAATTAGTTATGATACCAGGATGCTAACGAGCTAGCATCCACAAACACAGCTGCTGATGGTTGAACTGAATAACGACCACAGAAGAAGAAGAAGAAGCAGCAGGAGGAGGAGGACAGGAAGCTGCTATCAGCTGATCTGGAATCAGGTTTTTATTCAGATTAGAGCTCCTCCCCCACCCTGACCCCTGACCTCTGACCCCTGACCTGCTGAATGTCAGGACGCCGAGCTGATCTGGATCCAGCTGTGGGGAACAAACAGAGACGGCGGCGGGCTGCGGTCTACAAAGATGTTTTATTGGTGCGACGGTCGACTCTGCAGCTTTGAACACAGTCAGAGTCCTGATCCACAAATGTCAGTGAACACGCCGACCATCTGTGTGCGCCGCTGCACGCCACCGCCGCCGCCATCTCTCACACAACACGCCACGACACGGCGAACAGATCAAAACCTCACGGATGAAGAGAAACCAGGAAACATTCACTCTGTCATTATGAAGGAGTGAGAGTTTATAACACACTCCTGCAGAAGAACGGACCCAGACCCATCACTGTCAGAACCAGAGAAGAGGGTTCTGACCCGAACCCTAACAGACCTGATCCAGACCAGACTCAGCTGGACAAAACCACGACCTCCAAACTCTGAGGGAGGCGGAGCCAAAAAACCATCAGTCCGTCCAGGACGTCTCTGAAGTATCAGGACCAGCAGCTTCACACTCGGACCAGAACCAAGGCGACTCTTGGTGGAGGACCATTAAAGGGATATTCTGTCGTTAAATTAATTCAGGGTCAAACCCACCGTCACCCCGAGTTAGACCCCCCCTCCAGAGATGAATGTTGTCGACCGCTTCCTTCTCTAGTTATACCAACTTTAGTAACGACCGCAGGATAGAAATACAGAGAGCCACGCCCCCAACCAAAACGCCACTCTATAGCCACAAATAATGCTCAGAACAGCACCTAACTTCATCAACAGGACATATAGGGTCACAGACATAGTACTAGACACCAAACATCTTTTCGAGACGCTAAGACAGAAGAACTACCGCGTCTGTAAAATGATTAATATGATGATTATTACTTCAAGGAAATGATAAAGAAATGATCATAAATGTTCTTCCTTGAGCTGCGGCACCCCGCTGTAGTCTGTAATGGACTGGCCTGAGGTCTCACTACAAACAAGTGTCTGCTGGAAGAGAGTAGGTGAGTCTCTGTTGACTAACCCTCTCTAACCAGTTAACTAAAGAGAAAGTGCAACACTGTTGTCACCATGGCAACCCCATCAGTCACCATCACTGTCAGAGCTGACATCATCATCATCATCTTCATCGCTGTTATTACAGAGAGATGCTGAGTCTGCACTCAGGTTAAACATTATTTAAAGAGTGTGTGTGTGTGTGTAGGTGTGTGCACGTGTGTATGTGTGTGTGTGTGTGTGTGTTTGTGTGTGTATGTGTGTGTGTGTTTCTGTCCGACAGGGAATCAGGTTCTGAGGGCTGATCTGCATACACTGCAGTTAATTAGCTCTGTCAATCATCCTGCTTTGTGTGTGTGTGTGCGTGCGTGTGCATGTATCATACTTACACGTCTGTCACGCTCAGGGTTGACCCCCCCCCCCTTCTGTGATTGGTCCATTTCCAGCTGCCAGTCAAACCTCAGCGGTCGGTGTTTTACTCCTTTAATATTTCATATCTCTGTTTTTAACCACAAACCTGACAGACGGAGTCGAGGGACAACTGAGCCCATTCATTATCTATGGAGGAGGTGCAGGCAGAGTGGGGGGGGGTTAGTGAGAACAGAACCGAGCCGTGGTCCTGGTGTGAACAGGTGGTTTCCTGAACCCTGACAGAGAGAGAGAGAGTATGAAGAGTCCTGGAGTTCTGCTGGGCCCTCTCTCTCTCACAGATCACAAATATAAAATAAATCATATTATTAAATTATTATTTTATTGTCACCCTGTAAAAAAAACAACCTCAGTCTTTTCTGATGAAAATGAGTTTTAGGTCTGAATCCTCTCTTATAATGCTGACAGGACACTGCTGCTAAAATCACCTGAATCCATCAGGACATGATCCTTTAAACTGACGAGCTTTTCTTCTTCTTTTTCTCTTTCCCGCAAGTTTCATTTTTTTAGTCGATCAGATTTGAGCGACTTTCATCCCTTTTTTGTTTGAGGGATTTTAAGTGATTCAATGTAAGTTTATTTAATTAATTAATAACTAAATTGAATTTAATTATTTAATCTTATTTAGTTTTTATTTTTTATTTAATCTTATTGAGTTTTGAATTTTTATTTATTCTTTTTTAGTTTTTAAGTTTTTAATCAATTTTATTTAGTTTTGAATTTTTATTTAATCTTATAAAGTTTTAGTTTTTATTTAATTTAATTTTGTTTTTAGTTTTTATTTAATCTTATTTAGTTTTTATTGAACTCTTTTTCAAACTTCGCTCAGGTCCAGTTCGTCTCTGCGCTCATGAAGGTCACGGGTTTAAAAACTGAAACAGCAGCTCTGCCCCGGAGCAAGGCAGCAGGAGCGAGTCCAGCTGTTTGCACACACACACACACACACACACACACACACACACACACACACACACACACACACACACACACACACACACACACAAAGTAAAGTTGAAAACATTAAACTCGGTCTTTACAAAGACGACGTTTTTAAGCGTTTTTAAGTTCCTCTCTTTTTTCTCTTTTTTGCCTTTTTTGCCTTTTTGTCCTTTCGAAGTTTCAGAGCTTTAGTTTTCAGTCTGTTATCGTCTGTGTTTGTGTCTGTGTTTGTGTCTGTGTCCAATCAGAGCTCTCCGGCGCTGCTCTCCTGCAGCTGATTGGTTGTTTTCCTCTCGGTTTGCTGCTGCTTCCTGCGGCCATGTTTAATTCAGCCCTCCATGATGGAGCGGGCGGTGTTGGTTATTAAAGCCTCTTTAAAAGCGTCTGTTTGCGGCACTCAGAGGTTTAAATATTCAGCAGCTGATGTGAACGCTCGTCCGCCTTAAACGGCTGAGAGGAGTCATGCGGCGCTGCAGGTCTGAGTCGGACCTCAGTCCATTAGGCAGCAGGATCACAGACGGCTGATATTAAACAGACAAATGAGTCAAATCATCAGATGAATAACTGAGCAGGGACGAG